AAGCATCAATTTTTGGGGGGTCAGCTTTCTTTATGGTCCAGCTTTAACTTCCATACATTACTACAGGAAAAACCATAGCTTTGACTATGCGGACCTTTGTCGGCAAAGTGATCTCTCTGCTTTTTAAGATGCTGTCGAGGTTTGTCGTCACTTTCCTCCCAAGAAGCAGGTGACTTTTAATTTCGGGGCTGCTGTTACCATCTGCAGTGATCATGGAGCCCAAGAAAGTAAAATCTGTCACTGCCTCCATATCTTCTCCTTCTATTTGCCAGGAGATGATGGGACCAGCGGCCATGATCTTGGTTTTTTTGATGTTGAGCTTCAGACCGGTTTTTGCATTCTCCTCTTTCACCCTCATTAAGAGGTTCTTTAATTACTCCTCACTTCCTGCCATTAGAGTGGTATCATCTGCATATCAGAGGCTGTTGATATTTCTTCCGGCAGTCCTAATTCCGCCTTGGAATTCCTCCAGTCCAGCGTTTCACATGATGTATTCTGCATATAAGTTAAATAAGCCAGGGGACAATATACAGTCTTGTCGTACTCCTTTCCCAATTTTGAACCAATCAGTTGTTCCATATCCAGTTCTAACTGTTGCTTCCTGTCCCACGTACAGGTTTCTCAGGAGACAGACAAGGTGGTCAGGCACTCCCATTTCTTTAAGGACTTGCCATAGTTTGCTGTGGTCCAGACAGTCAAAGGCTTTTGCATAGTCAATGAAGCAGAAGTAGATGTTTTTCTGGAACTCTCTGGCTTTCTCCATAATCCAGCGCATTTTATCATTTTTTTCTTTAGTCCCTCTGTCCCTCTGAAATCCAGCTTGTACTTCTGGGAGTTCTTGATCCACATACTGCTGAAGCCTACTTTGGAGGATTTTGAGCATAACCTTGCTAGCGTGTGAAATGAGTGCAATTGTACGGTAGTTGGAGGATTCTTTAGCACTGCCCTTCTTTGGGATTAGGATGTAGACTGATCTTTTCCAGTCCTCTGTCCACTGTTGAGTTTTCCAAACTTGCTGACATATTGAATGTAGTACCTTAACAGTGTCTTCTTTTAAGATTTTAAATAGTTCAACTGGAATGCCATCACCTCCACTGGCCTTGTTGTTAGCCAAGCTTTCTAAGGCCCACTTGACTTCATTCTCCAGGATGTCTGGCTCCAGGTCAACAGCCACATTATCTGAGTCGTCCAGGATATCCAAATTGTTCTGGTATAATTCCTCCGTGTCTTCTTCCCACCTCCTCTTGATGTCTTCTGCTTTTGTTAGATCCCTCCCATTCTTGTCCTTTATCATGTCCATCTTTGCACAAAATGTTCCTCTAATATCTCCAATTTTCCTGAACA